TCTCCTCTCCCCCACCAGCTCCCCATGGGAACAGCCTCAAGGTCAAGGTGACATCTTGCCCTGTCCTCAGAGCCAGAGGTCTTGAGGGAACAGTGAAACAGCCTTGGGCAAAGGTCAGTGAGGAGGAAGGCTCGGGAAAACAAGTGGTCACTACTAGACTTAGGAAACAGCAGCATTCCAGAATCCTGAGCTCAGGCTCCCAGAGGACAGGCCAGACCATCAGACCTGCTCAAGGGCAGAAGGTCACCCATCTAGGGAAAGATCATGGTGCGATACAGAGCACAGAGCTGGCAAGCGCTAGCTGCCCCAGAGGCTTCTCTCCCACGAGAGGCTGCACAGGAGATGGACAGAGATGGACAGCTAAGACTCCCTAAGCCACCATCCCCAGGGCGTGCGGGTGATGATGGTAGCAGCTTCCTTTAAAGCCTACAGAGTTGGTTCATGGGTCATTCTACAGGGACCCCGCCATAGCTCCTTCTCCTATTACGTGGAGCCCAAGAGCTGTTCGCTTTTCTCTGAAGGAGGACTAGACACATATTTGGATCACTTAACAAGGCAGGACTTCAAGAAATTGCCAGCGTGTCCCAGCCAGCTCCTCTGTCGCCCACTATGCCCCTCCAACCTCCTTCAGCCACACCGCAGCTTGGGAAGTAAGTCTGTGTGAAATTCAGAGGCACCCATAATTCTGCAGTGAGTGTGCACCTAGCAATAGGTATCGGATGGATTTTCTGGATGCCTGCCGTTGCCAGGTGGCAGTTGGGGTGCTTAGCAACCCCCCAGGTCCCCAAGTAAGCCTTCCATGGGAATCACAACCAACAACTACAGTTCTTTCTTCCAGGTCTTGGGCTCCAACCCAACAGGTCCAGAGAGCTGAGGGGAGGCTGGAGAAAGACCCCAGATGTACCTGGGCAGTCCCAGCACACAGGTAAACACGCCCAGACCACCCCCAGTCAGACCTGTGGCTGGCACAGCAGGGCCACGTGCAGGGAGTATCACATCCACAAGCTCTCTACCTCCAAGAGGGCCAGGCTCAGCCCTGCCCTGCGAGGAGGTTAGGACCTGGGGTCAAGATGGCGAAGTTGCAGAGTCCCAGACCCTTCTCACCATGGAGACGGTCCACCCTCCTCCCACCCATCCCTGTCCGCCTGAGTGGTGGAGAAGATACTTGTGTGTGAAGGGCAAGGCCCCCTTGTCCCTCCCAGGGGAACCATGGCTGGTCCCCTTCCCAAAGGCGGCTGATTGTCTCCATAAAAACATCTCCCAGCAAGAAAGGGACTGGAACCAGAAATGCCTGGATGGGGCTACACTGGCCAGTCATCCCTGAGGTCCCCAGGGAAATTGACCTGCACTGGCCACACAGTCACGGTGGCAGGGCACCTTCCTCCCACTGCACACTCCTAAAAGAGAAATGCTCAGGGACACACAAAAGCCAAACAGGTCTCTGGACACTGAGTTCTGAAAGGAGCCCCTTCTACAAAGAGAAGTCTCGGCCATCAGAGCCAGTGCTGCAGATTCTCTGAGGCATTACACGCCAAGTACGTGCGCCGCTTGGTGTGGCACTGGCTACAAATGGCTCCTTGAGTAAGCATCATTCCCGAGCCAGCTTCTGCATCCTCGCCTACTAAGGCCGCCAAAGCTCCTGTTGAAGTCTGTTCCCCTCACCAGGGGCTTTGGCAAGAGGCAAATCTGTAATCCTGGCTACTCAAGAAGCTGAGATCTGAGGATCAAGGTTCAAAGTCAGTCAGGACAGGCAAGTCTGTGAGACTCTTATCTCCAGTTAACCACCAAAAAGCTAGAAGTGGAGGTATGGCTCAAGTAGTAGAGTGCCAGCTTTGAGTAAAATACCTAAGAGACAGAACCCAGGCCTTGAGTTCATCCCTAGTTCTAGCACAAAAGGGAAGGGAAGGGGAGGGGAGGGGAGGGGAGGGGAGGGGAGGGGAGGGGAGGGGAGGGGAGGGGAGGGGAGGGAAGGGAAGGGAAGGGAAGGGAAGGGAGGGAAGGGAAGGGAAGGGAAGGGAAGGGAAGGGAAGGGAGGGAAGGGAGGGAGGGAGGAAGGAAGGAAGGAAGGAAGGAAGGAAGGAAGGAAGGAAGGAAGGAAGGAAGGAAGGAAGGAAGGAAGGAAGGAAGGAAGGAAGGAAAATGGATGAGACCATGAAAGCTCCATTGCTGGCCTGTGGTCAGCTCCCAAGATGCACTGGCTGAAGCTCCTGGGATGTGAAATCAGCCCAGAGTGCATGCCAATCACGTCAGCCCCGGTGCCTAGGGAGAGCTCAACCTCTGTCCTGGCTGAAACCAAGGAGAAGGGAGCAGCTGCTCCCACCCACCTCCCCTTCCCCTCTTCAGCCAATGAGTTTGCAGGGCCCTGTGCCAAAAACAGCCAACGGTACCAACGGCTTCGCAGCTTTGTTCACCTCTGCCTTCTTTCTTCATGTGTTTTCCAAATAGCCCCATGACAATATGAGTATTTTTAATCCTCATTTTTCAGAAGACTAAACTAAAGACGAGGAAGCAAATTGCCAATGTCACAGAGGGAGAAGATGAGAAAGCCAGGACTCAATGTCCTGAGAAAACCTTGGCAGGACCAGGCACCAGGTCACGCCTGTAATCCTAGGTGTGAAGGAGGTTGAGATCTGAGGATCTCAGTTCAAAGCCAGCTTGGCAAGGAAGACCATTAGACTTAGGTACTTTTATCTCCAATTAACAGATGAGGTTCAAATTGTAGTTTACTGCCTAAGGGAGCATGCCAAGCCCTGATTTCAAGCCCCAGTACTAGAACAAATAAACAAACAAAAAAGCAAACTCTGGCAGAAGCACTGGATGTAAATCTAAGATATAAATTCATCAGCTTTTGGAAGGGGGTCTCCTGATGCAGGAGCTGATATCAGTCATGGGGGTATGAAAGTATAGAAAGATCTGCCCTCCTGAGCAAGGACTGTCCTTGAGCATCAGTGGTTCCAAAAGCAAAGAAGTATTCTCTAGATAAACAAGAGAATATAAATGCCTAAATGTACTCTCATTCACTGCTAGAAGTATAAATAGTTTCAACCTGTATATGAGACATTTGGCAGTATTTATCAACATTAAAAATGCACATGGCTGGGTTCTCAAGAAGTTAAACATGGGGCTGGAGAGCTGGCTAAGTGATATTTATGAGGTTCAAGCACCAGCACTGGGCATTAAAACACAGCTACCACATGACCCAGAAATTCCACTTCTGGGTATGTACCCCAAAGAAGTGAAAGCCATGATTCAGATATTTGTACATTAATCTTCACCATAGCACGTTTCTCAACAGACAGGATAAAACATCAAAAGTATAGCCAACTGCAGACACCAGTAGTTCACATCTATAATCCCAGCTACTCAGGAGGCTGAAATCTGAGGATAATGGTTCAAAGACAGCCTAGGCTAGAAGAGCTGTGGCTCAAGTGGTAGAGCACTAGCGTTGACCAAAATGCTGAGGGGTAGCACCTAGGCCCTGGGTTCGAGCCCCAGGATTGTATGGAAGGATGGAAAGAAAGAAAGAAAGAGAGAGAGAGAGAGAGAGAAAGAGAGAGAGAGAGAGAGAAAGAAAGAAAGAAAGAAAGAAAGAAAGAAAGAAAGAAAGAAAGAAAGAAAGAAAGAAAGAAAGAAAGAAAGAAAGAAAGAAAGAGAAAAAAGAAAGAAAGACTCAAGATGCTCTTGAAAGAGTAAATAGGTTTGTGCCTACATAGATACATCTGCAAATAAATGGAGTATTTCTGAAAGGATATATTAGAAAAGTAACAGTATCTGATATAACTGGATAGCTGGAAATGAATGAGAAAAGAATAACCTTTCCAGTATATTCCTCATATCTTTATATTTTATAAAAGTTACTTGAAATCTAACTTAAAACATTTAAAACTGATGTCCAAATTCTGCTTCTTGCTATTTTAGAGGAGTTTCTATCAGACCAACCCAGAAGCCAAGAACTATAGAGCTGGATTAAATCCCTTCTCCTCAATTCCCCCACCCCAAAAGTCCTAGGTCTTTGAAGAAAATGGAAATCAAAAGTGGTAGACAGGCTTGAGGGGCAAAGACTTCAGAAGGAAAAGGAACACATTGAAGTGAGTCTAACACACTCTGTTACCTTTCCCTGAGACCAGGGTTGAGAGGCTGAGCAGAGGGCAATGGCAAAATGAGATTCAAAGACTGGCAAAGATTCCAAGGCAGACAGAGAGGGGCTGAAGCACTAGAGGAAGGAGAACTCAGCAGGGTCCACCTGGCTATGTGTACTCTATTCCCCCTGAACATGTGCTTGACCAAGAGACCAAGAATCTAAGCAGAAAAGGCCAGCAAGGAGGTTACAGACAAAGGGTGGATACCGCCATTCATGGTGCTGGGGAGCCTAGGGTCCCTAATAGGAGGACCAGCATTCTGGTTATTATCTCTGAAGAGTGCTTTCCCAGAATAGGCATCAAATAGATCTGATCTCAGGCTGGTCTAGCTTTGTATCATCTCAGTCCCACACTGGAGCAAAGCGATCTGCTGCTGTCCTAGCCATCTGCTGCAGGAAAAGCAAGTCTCTCTGAAGAAACACAACATCATTCAGCCACTGCTACCTTCCACACGCAATATGCAGCAGTTAATATAAAAAAAAAAAGCCAGGGTGCCAGAGATAGGACCAAAACTCAATGGGAAACACAGAACCAAATATTCTAAATAATGTGATTGTTAGCCAGGGCCTTTAGAATAAATATTTTTAAAGTTCCCTAAAATAGATGACCAAAAGGATGATTTAAACAGAGAACTTGTGTCTAGTCTTAAAAAAAAGTCAAAGAAAATTCCAGAACTGAAAGACATACAATAATTAATGAAATATTTAATAAATGAGCAGAGAATTGGACAAAGCAGAGGAAGAGATGATTAGTAAACTCGAAGTTTTATCAATAAAAATGTTTAGAAGCATAGAAAGAAGAAAGAAAGAGTCAGGAGTTTGTGGCAAAGTAGACACAACTGGCCGCAGCTGGGTTCTGACCAGACCGAACTTTCTGGCCCCTTGCCTGACGGACAGGCAAAAAAGATGTGGAATAGTGGGTTTGAAAGCTTCGGCAGCACCAGCTCTGGCGGAGCGGGTGGTTACACTCAGTCCCTGGGGGGCTTCGGCTCACAGACCCCGACGCAGGCCGAAAGGAAATCAAGAACCCTAGCCCAGCACATCGTACCCTGTACTATATCTCAGCTGCTTTCTGCCACTCTCACAGATGAAGTATTCAAAATTGGGAATGTTGAAATTTCACAGGTCACTATTGTGGGAATAATCAGACATGCAGAAAAGGCTCCAACCAATATTGTTTACAAAGTAGATGACATGACTGCTTCACCCATGGATGTTCGTCAGTGGGTTGACAAAGATGATGCCAGCAGTGAAAACACTGTGGTTCCTCCAGAAACATACGTGAAAGTGGGTGGCCACCTCAGATCTTTTCAGAACAAAAAGAGCCTTGTGGCATTTAAGATCATGCACTTGGCGGACATGAATGAGTTCACCACACATATTCTTGAAGTGGTCAATGCACACATGTTGCTGACCAAGTCCAACAGCCAGCCCATGGCAGAAAGACCCTCTCTCAGCAACCCAGGAATGAGTGATGCAGGGAACTTCAGTGGGAATAGCTTTGTGACCTCCAATGGCCTTACTGTGGTTCAGAATCAGGTGCTGAATTTAATTAAGGCTTGCCCAAGACCTGAAGGATTGAACTTTCAGGATCTCCGGAACCATCTCCAGCATATGCCTATAGCCACAATTAAGCAAGCTGTGGATTTTCTTAGTAACGAGGGACATATTTATTCTACTGTGGATGATGATCACTTTAAGTCCACAGATGTAGAATAACGGGATCTCCTTGAGTATCTGAGAGATTGCCAGCTGGACCTGGTTTTCACAATCTGTTTGCTCCAGCTGTGCGTGTTTGGCCAGGTATTTCTAGGAAAGAGGTTTTGTGCTGATGGTTTCTTGCTCTCCTGTTTTTGTTTTTGTTGTTTAGAAACTGAAAGGAAAATGAGCACTTGACAGAGAGGTAAACCAAGGTGGAGTTCGTTAAAGAAGTTCCAAATAAGCTTACAGGATAAAAAAGATTATAGGAGGAATGTTACAGAGACAATAGGGCAGTATTAATGTCAGGGTTTATTCTTAAAACATACTCTTATTAAGGACATGAGCCAGATCAGGACCTACCTGTGGGCAGAGAATCTACTGAGGGACCCACTACCTTTTGCCCTATTTTTGTTACCCTGGTTCTGTAACATTACTTTTCAAAATTGCACTTTCCTTCCTTTCTTGCCTTCCATGATGCCGTAAAGAGGTTTGTGTGAACATGAGGTTCTAGATTGGGTGGCCTCAAGGGGCAGAGGAAAGGAAGAAATGTTACTATGTTTTGTATTATTAAAAAAAAAAAGTACACCCAGATGTTTAATGAACTGTTCTGTTATTGCAATAGCTTGTGTGTGAAATGTTCTCCCTTTTTCTGAGCTGATGCAATTGCTGCTTTGTCATCTAAGACAGTGTAGCATAATTATAATAAAACTTGGATTTGAATCCCGAAAAAAAAGAAAGAAAGAGTCAGGAAAAAAGGAGGTAGACTTACAGAATCTGATTGTATGTATGTATGTACGTATGTATAAATGTATATTTAGGCTCATGTGTATAAGCCTAGCTCAGGAGGCTGAGATTTGAGGATCACCATTGAAAGCCAGCCTGGGAAGGAAAGTCTATGAGATTCTTACCTTCAATTAATCAGCAAAAAGCCAAGAAGGAAAAAAAAAGGCAAAAAGCTCAAGTAGTAGAGCATCAGCCTTGAGTGAAAAAAACTAAGCACCAAGGCCCTGAGTTCAAGTCCCAGTATCAGCACAGAAATAAAATAAAATACAAAGCAAGATAATAAAATAAAAGTATATATAGAGTTCTAGAAGGACTGAAAATGAGACAAAAGCAGTAAGAGATACTGGCTGAAACATTCCAAGCCATTTATTCAAGAAGCTCTTTCAATACTAAGGATGAAACAAAGAAAACTCCTAGTCATGTCACTGGAAAACTGCTAAAAACTAAAGACAAAGAATATTGTAAAAGCTAGGCACTGGGACTCATGCCTATAATCTTAGTTACTGAAGGATCACAGTTCCAAGCCAACCCAAGTAGGAAATTCCATGAGACTCATCTCCAATAAACTACTTAGAAAATGCCAGAAGTAGAGCTATGTCTCAAGTGGTAGAACAATAGCCTTGAGCACAAAGAGGCTCAGGGACAGCACCCAGGCCCTGAGATCAAGCCCTAGGACCAGAGGGAAAAAAAAGTATTGTAAAGACTGAGTATTTCTGTAACAGGAGCAACAGTATGTCTGACAACCGACATTTCAACAGGAATGATGGAAGGTAAAGGATAGTGGAAGGACACCTTTAAGCAGCTGAAAGTGAGAAACTGGCAACCTAGAATTCCTTGTCTCCAAAAGACATTGCTTTGAATTGAATCCATCCTTCCCAAATTCAGATGCTTCTAATGGGATAGCACTGAGAGACCAGCAGCCCAGGGGAGGGCCAGGATGGCACAGCAGGCTGCCTAGCCCCTAGGATGATCGGGCCCAAGGCCTGCTCTTCATGCAGCATCTAGCTAACTTTCTTTAGCATATGGCAAGCCCCCAGCAGACTTTGTGAGCCAGTTCTTCTAAACATTTAAAAGTAAAGCATAACCTAAGGCACCCTCCAACTCTTCCAGGGAGCAAGAAGAAAAACAAAAACAAAAACAAATTACTTCATGAGCCTTGAGCCTAGCTACAACCTAAACATGAAAAGAAAGTAAAATGCAAGTAGATCTCTCTCATGACTTCAGTCACTACAGTGACAGGAGCATACTGAAACCCCTAGGCAGGCAGGCAGGCAGGTGGCCAAATGGAAAAAGAGCCCACAGAATCTTCTAACCCTGGGAACAGTCACCCAAGGATCTTATACACAGATTAAAAACTAAGGCCTAGCCGGGCGCCGGAGGCTCACACCTGTAATCCTAGCTACTCAGGAGGCTGAGGATCACGGTTCAAAGCTAGCCCAGACAGGAAACTGTGAAACTCTTATCTCAAATAAACTACTAGAAAACCGTACGTGGTGCTGTGGCTCAAGTGGTAGAGAGCTCGCCTTGAACTGAAGAGTGCAAGGACAATGCCCAGGCCCAGAGTTCAAGCCCCATGACTGACAAAAAAAAAAAAAAAAAAACCTGAGGCCTTGGGACCAAGAAACTACCCCAAGGTCATACTCCAAGTTGCATTATATTTTGTAATAGTCACAACAAAGAAGCTTGCTTTTCATTTGAAAGAGAGGGAGGAAGGAAGAGAGGAAGGGAAGGAGGGAGGAAGAGAAAGAGAGGAAGGAAGGAAGGAAGGAAGGAAGGGAGGGAGGGAGGGAGGGAGGGAGGGAGGGAGAAAAGCTGCAAAATAAGTGTCAGTACCTTCACTCTGCTGATGAGTAAAACGAGACTCTAAGGAAAGAACTCCCTGGCTTAGCTAAGTGCTGACAGACAGAGGAAAGGGATTCTTTACACACACCTACTCAAGGCAGGTCCTTGGGAACCCTGGGGTACAGAAAGTTGAATATGATGGGATATTAATCCTGGAGCTTTATCAAAAAAGAGGCCAGAAAAAAAAATCCCTTCTAAAACCTGCCAGCTGAAGGAGTTGACTCCAAGGCCTAGCTCAGAAGCTTCTATGCTTCATAAATAGAGACAGGACAGAGAAAGCTGGGATCCATCAGCGACATGATCTGTGCGCATCCTCACATACCACTGTCTAGAGCACATGAGTGAGATGTAATCACTGTCCTCCCTCCAGGTCGAAGGTCCTAGAGCATCCACCAAAACTAAAACCTCATCTCCAATATATCTGGGTCTATGAAAGGTTTCAGTAGACCCAGAGCTGAGCACAAACTGACAGGATTCTCAAGAGCAGAAAATCATGGAGTCTCAACAAGGGGAGAAAAACCCGGATAACAGGAACTTGGAAGGTCTAAGTTCTAAAATGCATCTGAAATGAATCCAGACCAACACCCATTTAAATGGCTGAGTCACAGGCCAGGTGCTGGTGGTTCCTGCCTGGAATCCTAGCTACTCAGGAGGCTAAGATCTGAGGATCATGGTTCAAAGCTAGCCTGGGCAGCAAAGTTTGAGAGATTCTTATCTTACAAAAAGGGGCTCTTCTGTCCTGGATTAGGCTGGAGCAAAGCCTATAGACAGAGAGCAGGGACATCCAGGTACTCTTCCAGATGGACAGAGGAAAACAGGGGATCCGACTGTGGTTCCTTCTTCCTAAGTGACTTAGAATGCAATGAGGAGGGGCAGGAACTCCCTACAGGAGAGAACTGAGGCCCGGGAGTACAGGGGCACTTGTCCTACAGAGGACCATGGCACTGCTGATCTAGCTCCTCTCCTCGCAGACCCTGCATGCATGCTCTAGTCCCATGATCACCCCACCAAAAGCCCCCTAAGTCCTGAGCCTTACCTGCTGCTGGCTCTGCTCTTCCAGGTTCATCTTCACCTCCAGCGACTGGCGGGCTTCTAGGAAGGCCTTGCGGTGCTTGCGGTCAGCCATGTAGTAAGACATAATGCCCACAATGATGGCGCACAGGTAGAGGAAGACGTTGGCCAGGATCTGCACCCCAATGAGGAGGGAAGAAGAGGACAGTAGTGAAAACCCATCTTTGGGAAAAGGTGACAAGGGTGGCAGAGACTATAATCAATCCAGTCAGCTAGCATCCAGAAAGGAGCCCAGCAGAGCTCTGAACTTGATCACATAGTTAGGCCCCTGAGTGCACCTGTCCCAGGAACCACTAGTGGACAAGGCCATTCCAACATGGTAGATCCAGTGCAGGAGGGCAAGAGTATGAGAGACAGTTCACACCTCTTTCTTCACACCATAGCCAGTCTCATCACTGGGGAGGTCTGAGCAGCCTTTAGCCACCCATTCAGTCAGTCACTCATTTATTCAACCAACATCCACGGAGCCTTTGCTTCTTAGATGTTCTCGGGTACTTTGTGGATCATTGGGGAGGGGTTTACAAACCCCAAGTCCCAGCAGCCAGTGTGTAACCCTAAAAGCTTCGGATAATGGGGATGTCACAGGAGACTGGATCCGCTCTGGTTCAGCAGCCACAGTGGGACCTTACCTGTGTGCTGCAGGCTTACATTTTCTGCGCATCACAGGCTTCCTCTCACATAACACCACCCTTGCCGGCAAGCAGGTGGCCAGTGGTGATATTCATGCTGCAGAAGAACAGAAGCTACAGGAAAGGGTGAATCTGGAGCCTAATGTCCATCCACTGACCCAGAGGGCTTCTTGTGCACTGAGCGCCTGCTCCTTCTCTGACCCTATAGACGCTGTCAGTTGTCTTGGTCCTGCACCAAGTCACAGAGACTGCTGGGACTGCATGCTCTATGGCTTCCTGTTAGAGAGTGCCTCAGATATGGACCTAAACCTCTCCAATACACCTAGCTCCTGGTGTTGGCAACTGCTGGCTCTGATCTTTGGCCCTGACCATGGCTAGGCCAGATTTAATATCTCCCAAACCTCCAAGTCCAGCTGGGTGCCAGTGGCTCATGCCTATAATCCTAGCTACCCAGGAGGCTGGGATCTGAAGATTGCAGTTCAAAGCCAGCCTGAGCAGAAAAGTCTGTGAGACTCTTGTCTTTAATTAACCACCAGAAAACCAGAAGTGGCACTGTGGCTCAAGTGGTAGGGTGCTTGCCTTGAGCTGAAGAGCTCAGGGACAGCGCCTAGGCCCAGAGTTCAAGCCCCATGACAAAAAAAAAAACAAAAACAGAAAACAAAACAAAAACTTCCAAGTCCACTGGCCTCAGAGCCTTCTCCCACAAAGAAGGCTTTCTGCTCCGGCTTCTCACCCTTCCCACCTGGCTCCCGAAGTCCTGCCCGAGGGCACAGCTGCTCCCATGCAGATGTGGTTCCTTCCACATGCCACCAAGCTGACAGGCCCAGAGTCCAAGCAGGAAGAGGAGGAGGAGGAGGAAGAGGAGGAGGAGGAGGGGGAGGAGGAGGGGGAAGAGGAGGGGGAGGAGGA